CCATCTGCCTCCATTTTTCCTGCAGGTCTTTCTTTCAAGAGGTATCTTTTATTCTTCTAGCCGCTCCAGGCTGGTCTGCTCATTCTCTCAAGTGGGGATTTCTCATCTCTGGAGATCTGGATGTGGTTCTGGTTTCTACCTATAGTTTTATGTATTGCCAAGGCTCCGCGAGAAGCCTCGTTTACTGGGTACGCTGTAGCCCCATTTTAGGTATTCCAATCAGTCATAGGCAGAAGACAGACTTACAAGCCTTCTAGTGTGGTGTTTCTGACTATTCCTTTCTCTCCCTCTCCAGTATCTACTCTATATTATAATGCAAGGGAAACCAAGATTAAAACAAACAAACAAAAACAGTCAAGCATCTTAACATGATTCCCCCCACCCCATTCCAACCATGACTCAATCCCTGTATCTCAGAGCCCTGCCGTTCCAAGGCTGTGTATATATCGTCCTTTATCTCTGTCCCCTTTAGCGCTTTCGAACATGCCCAGTTGTTCTCCCATCTGCCCCGTTTCTCCGCTTCCCTCTTTGTTGGGAGTTTTTTAATGACCTGATCAATTTCTTCTTTTTCTATTTCAAGTTTTCTATTTCACTCTGTGTTAGTTTTGGTAGGTCATGTTTTTCTAAAATTTATCCATTTCTTCAAGATTTTCAAATTTATTGAAGTACAAGTCTTCATGATATTCTATTATTATCCTTTTTATTTCCGTTCTGTTGTGATGTCACATATATGTCTGTTATTTAGGTCTTCTCCCTCTTTTCTCTTGTTAGATTTGCCAATGGCTTGTCAATTATCTTAATCTTTCAAAGAACCAGCTTCTTGTCTTATTGGGTCTATTTTTCTGTTTTCTAATTCATTTATTTCTGCTCTAATCTTTCTTTTCTTCTGGTGACTGTAGGCTTACATTTGCTGGTCTTTTTCTCATTGTTGGAGATGTTGCATTATGTGTTGATTTTGATTCTTTCTTCTTTTTGGATGTGTGCATTCATTGGGTAAATTGCCATCTAAGCTGTCCTTTTCCTGTGTCCCAAAGGTTTAGGTATGTTGTGTTTTCAGTCTCATTTACTTCAAGAAATTTTTTAAATTTCATTTTTTATTTATTCTGTTACCCAATATCTTTTAAGTAGCATGTTATTCAGTTTCCATGTATTTGATTTTGTTTCCTTCATCTTCCTATTGTTGATTGCTGATTTTATAGCATTGTGATCTGAGAAGATGGTTTGTAGAATTTTGATGTTTTTAAATTTATTGAGACTTGCTTTGTGGCCTAACATGGTCTATTGGAGAATGTTCCATGTGTACTGGAAAACAATGTGTATTGTGCTGTTGTTGAGTTGAATGATCTATAAAATCTATGAGGTCAAGTTGATTGTGTTGTTTAGTTCCTTTGTGTCTTTGTTGAGTTTGTTTTTCTGTCCTTTTTTGGCAGTGGTGTATTAAAATCTCTTACTATTACTGTTATTGTTTTTGCTAAGTGCCTTCAAATCTCTTCCAACTCATGTGGCCCTCTATAGGATTTCCAAGGAGCAACTGGTGAGTTTGAACCACCCACCTTGCGGTTCAAACTGACCATGTAGTCTAGTGCTTATCCTACAGTGCCACACCAGTACTATTGTTTTAGAGTTATCTGTTTCTTTCTTCAGTTCTATTAACATTTGATTTATGTATTTTGAGGCTTTTTCGTTGAGAGCATAGATATTTGTTATTGTTATGTCCTCTTGTTCAGTTGACCCTTTAATCATGAGATAATGTCCTTCCATACCTTTTATGCTGGTTTTTGCCTTAAAGTTTACTTTATCAGAGATTAATATTACTACTCCTATTCATGTTTGATTGGTATTAGCTTGATACATTTTTTCCATCCTTTAATTTTTAATCTATGTTTTCCTTTGTATGTATGATGTGTCTCTTGTAGAGAGTATATTGAAAGATCCTGTTTTCTTATTCATTCTGCTACTCTCTGTCTCTTGACCGGTGTATATAATCCATTGACATTCAGTGTAATTATCAATGTTGTTGTTGTTGTTAAGTGCCAGTTATCAACAGGTATATGGATTAATTGTTGTCATTATGCTGTTTGTTTTTTATGGTGCTGTTGTTGTCTTTGTTCATTTGCTTTGTGCTTTTTTTCGTCAATTTCTTTTTTTTTTCTATGTTTACAAAATCTTCATGGATTTCTTTTTCTTCATTTGATATGAAGATGTATTAAGTTTCTATGAGGTTACCCTGTAATTTATTAATTTCCTCTTCAATTTAACACAGCCTATTTTATCCTGAAATCTACTTGACTTCCTCACCATTTGGTATTCCATAACTTTTTTTGCTCTATAGTTGCCTTTATTATAGATTGATATCTCTGATTCCCTATCTTCAGGCTTGTAGTTTTGTTGTACTCTGGATATTTCTATATCTGAATTGAATTCTGGGTGGTGTTGCCATGTATGCCAATCTCTGGTTGTCTTCTGCTGTTGTTGGTTCTCAATCCAAAGGACTTTCTTTAATATTTTTTGTAGAGTTGGCTTGGTTTTTACAAATTCCTGTAATTTTTGTTTATCTAGAAATGTTCTAATTTTGCCATTGTATTTGAGGGACATTTTGCTGGGTATGATTCTTGGTTGGCAATATTTTCTTTCAGAGCTTTGCATATTTCTTCCCATTGCCTTCTTGCTTGCCTGCATGGTTTCTGCTGAGAAATCAGAGCTTAATCTTAATGGTTTTCCTTTGTAGGTTGCATTTCTTTTTCATCGAGCTGCATTCAGGATTCTTTCCTTGTCTTTGATTTTGGATAATTTGATTATGAAATGTCTTAGTGATTGTCTTTTGGGGTCTATCCTGTTTAGAGTTTGTTCAGTTTCCTAAATGCTTATCATCTGTCTCATCTTTCATGATGTTAGGAAAATTTTCTTCACCTATCTTTTCTGTGGTTTTCTTTGTCTCTTCCTGACCTGGAATTCTGATCCAGAACAGGTTGGTCCTCTACATGTTGTCGCACATGAATCTTAGGCTTACTTTTGATTTTTTTCTTTATTTTTTCTGATTATCCTTCTATCTTACTAATGTTGAGAGATTTGTCTGTAAGTTTTCTAATTCCGGCTTCCATTGATTCAAATCTACTCCTTTGCCCTTTCAGTTTATTGTCCATTTCTGATATCTTAGTATTGATCTTCTGGATTTCTGTTTTTAGGGTTTGTATTGACTCCAGTCCTTAATCTGTTTTGTTTGATTGTTCCTGTAGTGCTTTTCTGAATTCATTCTTGTTTTCCTCGACTTTCATGTTAATTGTTTGGATATACCTACATTTCATTCTCCTGAATTCGTTTTTAGGTAGTTCCAGTGCCTCTTCTTCTTCAAAAACATTTTTGAGCTCTACCTCTTGGTTGGTTGTTTGAGCTACTCTGTCTCGTTTCTTCTTGTTAATAGACATTTTCTGCTGCTTTCTTGGCATTGTGGTGGTGTTGTATTTGTATAAAGTAGATGAATGTATGTTGGTGTATTCTTAGGCAATCACCAATGGCTTCCTGGTGGGTATGATCAGGAGATGAGTTTCTCTATTCACTGTTCATACAGTTCAATTCAGAGTGTATTTAACTGATATTGGTTGTAGTCACTGTTTTGGTGTATAGCAGCTGGTATTGGCTCTTGCCCAATTAGTAGTGTTGTAGAGGGTACAGCTGTGCTTGGCTGTGTGACTACAGTTGCTGTCTCTTATCAGGTGAGGCAAGAAGAAGGAAAACAAAAAAACCAGTCTACACAGAAAAAAATGAAAGTCAGTGACTCTCTCTCCTCCAATAAGGGATATGCTGCACTACCTTCTGGCCTCTTACCTTTACAGCTGCCTGAGAAAATTCAAAATGGCCATGCCATGTCTGGCAGGCCCACATAAATCGCTTCCTTTCCTTCATTTCTTTTCCTCCTTTTTTCTGTACCCCACACATCCATTCAATCCCCCAGGTTAGACTTTGCAGATTTGGAATGGCGCCTGCCCAAATGGGGTTACTATAGATAGCTCCTCCCTGGGACTCACAATCTCCAAATGACTTCAACCACCTGGAAAGTGAGAGATTCCCTGGGAGTGTATGCATATTGGAATAAAAGGAAAGAAAAATCATAACATTACACCTTTGTCTCTACAATCCACAAGTAGGTTTCTACAACACAAGTGTGTTTTGTCGTCTAAAGACACAACTCTAAAGATGGCTGCAGCAGGTTCCTTCAGCTGCCACTGCTCATCAATCTCGCCACGTCTATTCATCTCTCTGTCCCAGTAAGCATTTGATCCACTGTTCTATCCTTTCCTCTGAAGCTCAGGGTTCCAGGACCATCTTCTGTATCTGTTTCATCCAGTTTTCTGGATCCTTCCTGCAGAGAGTCTGCGCAGCCTTTCTGCTGCCTAATCCTCCATCTAGCCCCACCTCCTCTTCTTTCCCTGTAGTCATCCGTCACCAAGTTCTGTCAGTTCTCCTCAGGGCCTCTTCTCAAATTCACCCAACTTCTTTATTTCCCTAGACACAGCTCAGTTCCAACTATTCCTAAATTTTTGCAACTTCCTCTTAGAAGAACTCACCTTCTTCATACTCTCCTCATCCAAACCATCTATCATAAAACTGCTGGGCTCATCTTTCTGAAGCACTGTCTAGGCACGTCCCTCTACTGTTCTGAAACCTTCCTTGGCTCTTGGTTACTTTTAGCTTCTCAAGTCTGTAGTGTGACCTTGCTCTTCATGTGGTGATGTAACTCGGGATGCCTGGGCTTGACCAAAATAGGGCCTTCAAATCGGGCTGATACTCTAGCAAGACTTCCGACAGCTCCTATGACCTGTTTTGGATGGGGGGATCGAGATGTGACTTGTTCTGAATCAGAATGTCTTTGAGGAACAGGAGTCATTGCAGTGATTCCTTGACTCTAGCCTGGAAACATGAAATGTTAGAACTAAAACAGGACTGGAAAATGGAGAAACTGAAATCCAAGAAGTCAGAATTAAGTTAAATGACATGTACATGTGACCTAATAATGTCTTCTGTTAAAGCAGTATCTCTAATACTGGTTCAGTTGTATCTTCTGTATGACTTTCCCAGTTACCACACCAAGTCATCAAACTCATTTCCCGAATTTTCTGATCATCCAATGATGCTTTTTTGTTTTCTCATACAGAAGTTGCATCTTTTTCTCTGTTCTGTCCCAGGTTCTCTTTTCATGAAAACCTTTTTTGATTTGTCTCATTCACTCCAGCTTTCTGTCTTTCTTTTAACTTTTTATTGTGAGTTGAGTGAAAGTTTACAGAGCAAATCATCAGTTTTACATTTAGCAGATGGTACACTTTGTTTCATCCAACTGAATCCCCTCAATGTAACATCACTTATCCCACTTCCTCCCTGTATTTCTTGTTTCCATTCTTACTTCTTTCTCCACCTTTCTGAATTTTGTCCTTTGGTAAATGCTGCCCTTTTGATCTCAAATGGTGTCCATTTGTTCTCAAATCATTGTGTGGTGTCCATCCTATAAACCTATCTATTGCTTGATTGAAAATTGAACCACTCCAGCTTTCTTGTATGACTAAGGATTCCCGTTTTCCTGGCTCATTTGCCCATTCACAGTTGCTTCATATACATTACAGGTGATGCTTTCGTCTGTGTTCCTTATATCCTGACCCAGCTATCAGTCCCCACAGTTGCCCTGACACACACACACCTTGGGGCCTATGTCCAGATCTTCAAGTCCCTCAACTAGAGATTGGTGTGCAGGGTTTCTAAGGTGCTGACAAGAGCCAGCAATCAGAGAAAAAAGTGTTTTTGCCATTTTCTGCCCTATCCTTGTTTTGATGTCCTTACAAAGGGTTGATTAAAAAAAAAAAAAAAGGCTTTAGGATTGAAAAAAAAAGCAATTTTAGGAGAGTGAATTTTTATTTTATATATTTTTATGGTTTTTTAAAAATTTCTGAACAATTCATAAAAAAAGGTAAAAATCCTCCCTCTTTCTCAAATCCTATTCCCCCAGAAAGAACTACTATTAATAGTTCTTTCCAGAATTGCATTAAATATTTATCATGTTCCAGGTGCTGTTATCACCATACTGCATGCATTTTCTCCTTTCATTCTCCCTAGACTCTGAGGGATGAATGATAGTCGTCATTTTATAGGCTAGGAAGCTGAGGAGGATAATAATTTCATAACAAACAAACTATCAAGCAGTATTTGAAAAGCTGTCCTGTAGACTGGGCAACAGGTTTGTTTGGGGTTGCTCCAGAATACCACACTGTTACCAAGGGCTGGGAGTGAGGAGGGAGCTCATCTCTGTTTCCTATGGAGAAATCCTTTCTGGTGAATCATTGAGTGCATCAGAGGAGGGCTGCCCTTGCGTGGAGTCAGTGAGCCTCCTCCACCAGCAGTGTTTAAGTACCTGCTGGCTAACCATCTGTCAGGGAAGCTGAAGAGGAATTCCTCACCAGTGGGAGGATGTCCAAGGTGCCCTCCAAGGTTCTTTTCTATTCTGGTTCTTTCTCTGATGAGCTGCCAAGTGAGCCTTATGTCTCCTGCTTTTCGGACTGTTCAAAAAGCAAGAGAAGCACCTAGAACATCGCTATGGGATGTCGAAATAGTTTCAGTATGTGCCAAACTAAGTTAAGGGCTGTGTGTATATTTACCATATACACACAGTGTTGCTGTGAAATGTTGAAATCACACTAAAAGGACAGTCAGATGCTTGTTTGCCCCACTTTCTCAGCTTCCCCAGGGAGAGGGGTGGGAAGCATTGGAAACTGCCAGTATTTGGCTCATGTGAGTCTTTCAGGATCTGATTCCTCCCAGCTTGTACCCTGTGATCAATGGCACCTCCTGTTTCAGAGCAGGTACATAATCACTTCAGGAAGTACGAGGTCGAATATCTACAGTTCGCCTTTCGTTGGATGAACAATTTGCTTATGCGAGAGCTTCCCCTTCGCTGCACCATCCGCCTGTGGGACACCTACCAGGTACGACGTGATCCCTTGCCCTCTCTTCACTAGTGTGCCTGTGGTGCCCAGCTCCCTGCCATAGTGTGGAATGTAGCTGTGAGAGCACCACTCCCCTCCTCGACCCTCACTTCTCTGCCTGCAAGGGACACAGGCTCTGCTTTTCAGGCTTCTGTTTTCCCAGCCATGAAAGGGGTGTTCTGTTGCTCTCCCACCTCCTAGAAGGAATGGAACTGGGAGGACCAGAGGCAGCTCCTTGTCAGGGCATGGAGACCTAACTGCTTTGTTTTGTTTTTCTTCCTTTCCAGTCTGAACCAGAAGGGTTCTCCCACTTCCATCTCTATGTGTGTGCAGCCTTCTTGATCAAGTGGAGGAAAGAGATCTTGGATGAGGAGGACTTTCAGGTGCGTGTCCAGGAGCTCAGCCTGGGCTGAGAAGGAATGTCAGAGTGGGAATTAGCTCATTCATTACAGATAGAAGGGCCCAGAGCAGCTACCTGGATGGGAAAGGGAAAGAAGAAAGGTTGTCCCTCCCTTCTGGCAATAAGCCGTTTGTCAAAGAGTTCTTGCAGTACGAAAAGGCTGCAGGACAGCTGGGCAGGACTAGACCTTCCATTCACCCACTGACAAATAGTCACTGCCTGCCTGCCGTGTGCAAGGCACTTTGGAAGGATAGAGCAGTCAAGAAATGAAGCAGAGAGGTCTGTATTCTCACAGAGCTTACATTCTAGTTGGGAAGACATGTACAATAAACAAAAGCATCATAAATAAGGAAATCGTTTAAATGTTAGAAGGTGATAAAAGATGAACAGAATGAAAAAATGGGGAAGGGAAAAGTGATTGTTAGGTGTTAGGGAAGGAACAGGTTGCAATACTAAATAAGGTAACATAGGCTTACTGAGCAGGTGACCTCTGAAGAAAGGCTTCAGGAAAGTGGAGGAGCCTGCCAGGTAGACATCTGGGGGAATGCGTGTCTGCTCAGGGTGTCATGAGCGGGGCTGCTGTGGCCTGAGGAATCCAGGGAAGGACAGAAAGAAGTGAGGCCAGAAGTCACAAGGGACCCAGACCACCAACTACTTTCACTTTTATGCTGTATGAAAGAGGACATATGAGAAGATCTTGAGCATAGGAGTGATGTAACCTGACCTAAGTTTTTAAAGGATCTCTCTGGCTTCTATATAGATTGTAGGTATGAGCAAGGGTGGAAGCAAAGAGGTCCCCCAGGAGGCTACCGTAGTCTTCTGAATCTGTTTTGAAAATAGAGCCATCAGAATTTGCTGACACGTTGGGTCAGGAATAAGGTAGGCTGAGATAGAGTCTGATACACCAGGGAAGATCAGGAGTCCAGTGTGGGGCAAGTTGAGTTTGAAATACAGTTAGACATCCAAACAGAGATGTAGAATAGACCAATAAATCTTGAGTCTGGAGATGGATAGAGAGCAGCCAGGTTGGACATATAAATCTAGTAGCCTGTGGTGAGAAGGTGTGTAAAGCCAGGAGACTGGAGACGATTCCCTGAGGAGGTGAGTACATACGGGAGTGGGGCCGACACCATGGCACACTCCTGCATGAAGAGGTCAGAAGAGGTGGACAGAGAAGAGGAGACTGAGCCAGACTGACCAGTGAGGCTGCAGTGTCTTGGAAGCCCTGGGTGGGTTGCTACAAAGAGTCTCCATGAAGGAGAATTAAGAAGGACGTGTGTTAGGTGTGAATGCCAGACACGGCTCCAGGAGGACCCCAAACTGGGGGTGGGGGAATGGGCATTGAGGACCGAGATTGTCAGGCCCTACCCTCTGCAGAGAGAAAGGTCTGAAGACTGTTCATAGTCATTATCTCTAGAGGGAGGAGGAGACTTTTGTTTTCTTAATTTGTTTGCTGTGGATTGTTTGAGGGTTGGTGATGAGTGTTTTAAGAGACACGTATTTCTTTTTTTAAAACATGGAAAAAAGCAAGAGAGAGTGAATGTTTTTCTAAGTTCCAACTAATAACGTAGTGTTTTCCAGAGCAGTAACCACTCTCCATGATTCTCGAGCAGCCCCACTCTGTAACTGGTGTGAGGTGGTTATAGACCAGAAGCCTATTCGTAGAGAGCTGGGCTTTGAAAGATAAATGAAAGAGTGGATGGGTTGACTTCTGTGAGTAGGTGCTCATCATGATGTGAGGCTGCAGGCCACTGATAAAGAGCCATCAGTATTGGCAGCCAGCAGCATATGGTGAAAGAATACAACCCTGTCGCACACCTTCATCCTAGGATGTTATTCATCCTAGGATGAAGGTGTAATCTCTAAAGATGAATGACATCCTAGGATGAAGGTGTGCGACAGGGTTGTACTCTTTCACCATACTTATTCAACGTGCATGCTGAGCAAATAATCCAAGAAACTGGGTTCTATGAAGAAAAACGTGGCATCAGGATTGGAGGAAGACTCGTTAACAACCTGCAATATGCAGATGATACAACCTTGCTTGCTGAAAGTGAAGAGAACTTAAAACATTTTTTACTGATGAAGATCAAAGAGCACAGCCTTCAGTATGGATTGCATCTCAATGTAAAGAAAACAGAAATCCTCACCACTGGACTAATAAACAACATTCTTGGCAATGGAGAAAAGATTGAAGTTGTCAAGGACTTCATTCTTCTTGGATCAATTATCATCACTCATGAAAGCAGCAATCAAGAAATCAAACTACGTATTGCATTAGGCAAATCTGCTGCACAAGACCTTTTTAAAGTCCTGAAGAGCAAAGATGTCAGTTTGAAGACTAAGGTGCACCTGACCCAAGCCATGATATTTTCAATACCCTCATATGCATGTGAAAACTGGACAGTAAATAAGGAAGACTGTAGAAGAATTGATGCATTTGAGTTATGGTGTTGGAGGAGAATATTGAAAGTACCATGGGCTGCCAAAAGAACCAACAGATCCGTGTTGGAAGAAGTGCAACCAGAGTGCTCCTTGGAGCCCACAATGGTCAAACTTCGTCTCTTATACTTCAGACATATTGTCAGGAGGGATCAGTCGCTATAGAAGGATATCATGTTTGGTAAGGTGGAAGGTCAGAGAAAAAGAGGAAGACCCCCAGTGAGATGGATTGGCCAAGTGGCAGTATTGATGGCCTCAAGCGTGGCAATAATAGTGAGGATCAGGCAGTGTTTCGTTCTGTTGTGTATAAGGTCACTATGAGTCAGTACTGACTTGATGGCACCTAACAACAACAACAAAGGATGAATGAGGATGGGGGCAGGAATGGCCATGTGCTGAGGTGAGCTATCAGTTTTGATAATGTGGTTGAGGTGGTGTAGCATCTTGAGAGCATGACCCCTCATTTAGTTATCAGGAGCCAGGCCCAGAGAACCTTGTCATCACAGGGCTTCCCAGATAACTCAGAAAGATGGAGGTGATTCCTGGAAAGGTTCTTAACAATCCACAGTGTCTTTACAGTGTCTAGCTGGGCTAGACCAAGGGATGGTCTTCTTTCCCAGGTAGCACATTCAGTGAGCTGATGGAGGTGAAGTCTTCCTGCAGTAACCCAGAGAACACTGGGCATTGTTGTCTGCTGCTGTGTCCGCACCAAGATCTCCGACTTGTGGCGGGTTCTCGTCTCTTTGTTTTAGACACAATAGGATGGGCAGTTACACTGGAATAGCTGCCAAGTGTCTCCTATACCTATTACCAATAAAAGAAACAATGTCCTGGCTGTGTTGGGATGAATATACAGTGCCCTTTAGGAGACAGAAGTAAAGCATAGGTCTAAGGGACAGGGTCACAAATGCATCGTGTCAAATGGTGAGATACTGGACACGATTTCTGCAGAGAAGGGAGGCACTTACATCCTAACACTAAAGAGCTGTTTGTAATTGAATTCCTGCTAAGGCAGCTCAGTAAATAACTACAGGGACCCTAGAAAGGCAGAAAGACCCAGCCAGGAAGAGAGACCTATTAGGGCTAACAGCTGCAAGTAAGTGGCTCAAAGGAAAACCAGGGAAAGTCACTGCAGAAATGGAAGTGGATGTGGTGGCAGTTTCAGCACACCAGTCATTTGTCACCCTGAAAGAGCAGGAGAAAGAGCCAGGTGTAAAGGGAGCCAGTTGAGAAGATAGCCACCTTTTTACTAAAGTCAGGGACTCTGCGGAATAATGGAGTAGTTGAGCTGTAATCTCTAAGCGTCACTGCCTGGAACCCAATTCCAGTTCCACCACTCTAACCACGTGACCTTGAGCCAATAACTTGGCCCTCTGTGTCTCAGTTTTCTTACCAATAAGATTGGGATAACAGGCGTAAATACACGTAAGACAGCTAGATCACTATACTTTTCATTTAGCCCTCAAAACATGATTTTATTGTCATGAATCATAAATATTATTGCTACATGCAGTGTAGTCCTGTGTCTGGGAAGCAGTGAAACCAGAGTTTTCATTATGAGTTGTTGTGGTGGGGTTTTTTTTTTTTTTACTTTATCTGAATAAACTATGCTAGGCAAATCCTGGATAAAGCAGTTGAGTTGAATGAGTGAGTTGGGCCAAAGAGGAGGAATCAGAGTGCACAGGGACAAAGGGCAGTACCCTCGCTGTGGCAGAAGCCTCTAGAAGGAAGGGTACCTGCTCTTCCCTGGCTGAGCAGCCGTCTCAGTTCACTGACCATGGAGGAACATTACAATGCATGAGCGATGGAAGCAGAGGCATATGTGTGCACAGGTACTGTGTGGCAATATGACTGGCACCTTCTGAGGCCCACGGACAGCCTGAAATGAGAGCTTTCTGCTGGTTCCTGATGGAGGGGCCATCAGCAATGCTGTCCCACAGTCTATGCTGGTGTGATGATAATAAAAATGATGATAACATTAGGTTGTTGTTGTTGTTGTTAAGTGCCGTCGAGTCCGTTCCGACCCATAGCGACCCCGTACAGGGTTTCCGAGGGTTGGATCCTGTGAAATGATGTGTTTATAAGGCTAAATGGTCGAATGTTGGCAATTTTCTAAGGTCCAACTGAATAAATAGTTCATTCTTAGCACTTTTCATATGGCACACACTATTCTAAATGTTTATCTGTAGTTAATTTCATTTAATCCTTGCAACAGTTCTATGAGGAAGTTCGTGACCAGTAGCTGAGTCACAGAAATTAAGTAACTAGGCCAAGGCTGCCACTTCCCTCCCAGTATGTCATACTGTGATGGCTTGTATGGTGTTGTGATGCTGGAAGCTATGCCACTGGTATTTTAAATTCTGAAAGGGTCACCCCTGGTTGACTTGTTTCAGTGGAGTTTCCAGACTAAGACAGACTAGGCAGAAGGAAGAGGCAGACCACTTCTGAAAAATTCCCCGCTGAAAAAACGTTATGAACTATAGTGGAACATTGTCAAATACAGTGCCAGAAGATAAGCCCCTCAGGTTGGAAGGCACTCAA